TCTTCCGACGGGGTAAAATATATGGTAGCTGAAGTTTCTTAATAATGCATAAGCCGCAATCAGGACTATTTGGTGGCACGCCATCTTGCAGATCTGGTAGCCTCCACAAAGAATGAAAACCTCGTGTGACGGTCGGTACGTCATAAAGGAGGTAGTCCTGTTGCATTGCATCATGATGCATTCGTATACCCGCCGCCCCTTCAGTATGACGAGTGCCTCCCCTCACCTTTGGTGGTGGCCGCTAGTCTGGACCCGTCCTGGTTGTGTCGGTTAACCGGCAAATGGTCCCTGCCACCGGGCCGCGAAACCGAAATTTCAAGGTCCACTGTTGTAGAAACGTTTTTTTTATTATAGCTCACCTATGGGTCTTTAACCATTTTTTATACTAGATAACTATTTTTTCACCAGGGATCCCTAATTATCTGCTGTCACAGAGTTAAACGGGTCTCCATTCTTCAGTAGGCTTAATAGGTGTCAGTCGCCAACGCGTTTAACCTTCTGCATAATCGTCCCTGACGACGTGCCGCCACTTTCCCACCAATTAAGTTATTCCTGAATATCACCTTTTCCAACAACTGATTTTTCTTTCCTGACCGGAAACGCCACTCATCGCTTTCGCCCAACATTTGTGTGGGAGTATGCTTATCTCTCTTAATGTCAATCCACTAACAGCTACGTTTCAGGAGTTCCGGTAGATAAGCATGTTTACTGGTCATCAACATTTTCCTATCACCCATTCCTCAGTCGCCTGATGCATCTCGTTTGCTCATGATCCTCATGGTCTTATTACCAGACATTCCCCCTACCGTGAGATAGATGGGTGCTTGCATCGTGAGTACAAGAAATCTACTTCAGATCCCGGCAAAACGGCCGACATGCTTTCACAGGAGACTAAGTTCTTCAGGCTTTGCTCTGGCGCGTCAAAAAGGTAAAGGGGTTTTGTTGTCTGAATAATTTACAGCTATTTTTACCCCTTTAGGTATGTAAATCATATTTACCGCGACCACTGGAAAATGGTAACCAATGAAATGAATCTTTTTGTTTCTCAAATAACGGAATCATATAGCAATCTCCCCATCATTCATTCCATCTTTGGGCACCGCGGCATTTGCCAGTTCACCCGAGCTAGACATTGTAAACTTGCGATTATGGTCACTGTTTTGTTGCTTTGTGGTGATGCCTTTGTTGAGATGTGGTCTTGAAGGATGCCCCGAGTTTCTGTATGATCCCCAGCAAGAACCTAGGGCAATGAACAAACCCAGAAGTCGGTTAACGTGCAGGCACCAAGGTTTTCAAGCCTATTGCGCCTCGGTTTTTTCAAATCACATTGGGGGAACCACTTATCCATGGTTAACTATCGTTATGCTGGACGCTGCTGTTATCCGTTTTTAACTTTTGCTCTAGCAATCGGTTTGGTGGGGCTTAAATGACGTAAGTCAGCACATATATAGCAGCTCGAGCATCAGCCCGGTCAGCACCTACAAATTTTCCTCTCATTCATATATAGACTCGAAGGGCTTATTGGAATTTTGGAGCAGTTTCTCGTTCGACCGACCGCGGGGCGGAACGGATGACCCGAACACCTTAAAACATTGAGCGACAAGAAGAGACATCAAAACACATCCATCCAAAGGTCCAACTCGAAATGCTAACAACAATATTGATTTGAAATCAGTGGTTTGCCTGTGCTGAAGTATGTCAACGGATGCACCATAGGAATCGCATATCAAAAGCCAGTTGGTAAAGGATGAAACTGAAAAAAATATCGGACAGAAATATTAAATTACAAAAACAAAGAACAATACCGAAGAATAAGATTTTTGCGACAAAGTCAGACCACGAGTCCAGTCTATGGAAGCCAAAAACTTAGCCGTAACGCAGTTCGCCTGTATGACTTCAAAGATAACGACAAAATTCAGTCAAATTTCTTGGGGCCCATCGTCTAATTTCGGATGTTTTTTTCCAAACACAGGGTATTTCGAACGTGAGTGGCTATACTGAAGATATTATTAACAGCAATAACAATGTTCATTTTCACCTCGTAGGTGGCATGCCTTTAGGCACAATCGTATGGCTAGTCAGAATAAAAGCATGACTGGAGGAGATTGCATGTATAGGGGTGCTTCGGAGATGCGAGAACGTCATGGGTGGTGGGCTCTGTCTGATGTAGAGGTGGTCACCACTTAAGCGGTACGGATAGCGAAGCAAAGCTACTGTGCGTTTTTGGGGGAGAGCATCGAGCAAGATCAGATCGTTAGGATTTGACCAACCTGACTTTTCATTGCAATTTCGGTTTCTGGCTCTTTCAGGATTTCGGTTCTACTTACGGTGTTTATTCGGCCCCATCAGTATTATCTCTCCGTCGAACCTATCCACTGCACTGACTTCCTACAACAATAGCAAAAGTGAGTCTATAGAGTTTCAGGGAAAATGTGCTTTCGAGACAAAAGTTTACATTTGCCTCCGCGTCGAATTACTTCATCTCCATCTCCATCTCCAACTTTGTTTTTGTGGCTCTGGCCATTAACTCGACTGCCCAAGACCACTCGTGGCTAGCAATCGTTCTCACTTTTAGTTTATGTCAGCAGGCTTCATATTTGAACCGTACCTCATACCCATTGTCCTAGTTTTTCGGTCCCGGCAGTTGCGCTGACTTTTCATGTAATAAGAATGCCTCGTTGGTTGTACCTTCCTACCCGTTGTGCTGTTGCCCGTCGCGTTCAGGTCGCAACGACTTGGCACGTTTCCTCCAAGTTGAGAAACGAACATATTGCTATTATTTTATCGGGTATCGCTCACCATTTTTGACATTGTCCTCTTTTTCGCGCACACTCCATTACCCCCAAGTCCTCTAGTCATGCTTTTTTTAAATGTAAACGTATATTCATGCCCGCCGCTGAGCCACCCACAAGTTGGAAATAAACATATTATTATTATTAATATTATTATTATTAGGCTCGCTTTCCGGGTTTTGGTTATGGAATCGTATTATCGTGGTTGCCGAGAGCGGGGGGAAATATGGTTATCATTCTGATACTACTCAGAGAAAAACTGAACTGAAAGGCGTGTACGGTCCATGATACGTGTGTAGATGTGTTTTGTAAAAGGGGGGTGCTAATTTGTGTTCACAAAAACCGCATTCTACACATCAAATGAATTGGCTGGCACACTAGTCCGGCTTGAAATGTAGATCAAAGTAAGAAAACAAACTTAGTCAAGGGCATTCAAAATGGTACATCGATGGGACTAAAGCAGCGCAACAAAAAAGGTAGGGTTCATAACGAATGGGAGAAAATTCTTCCGTCTTCGTGGTGTGAATCTCGAAAGATCAAAGTTCTAAGCGTGGCCATTCAACAGAAATTTTTTTGGGGAGCAAAGTGGTTTGTAAGTCGTTTGTAAGTCGAAGTATCAATAGGTGCAACCGAGACGCCCCTGCAGGCGACGCTGCTTATGAGGAGAAAAGTCAGGCGATAGTATCGTTCTCACTGGGACAGATTAAGGAGATATGGCATTACCTTTCGACATGGTCCTGAATATAACTCAGCGTGTTTTCATCACGCTAGAGCCATAAAGGACCGAAAGAAAGACTGATCCAGGCGCAACCACATGAGGAAGGAATATGTGGTAACATATTTGCCCTTACCTACGGGAGGATAGCGGGATGGGTGAGCCGACCATTTTGATAACCTTAGAAGAATCAGGGTACACTAGCAATGGAGGATGTTGAGCACGATTGAGACCATAATGCCTTTGTGACAAATAACTGCGGGCAGGAATTGAGGTACAGATGGTGACGGTGGAGCTGATAAATTCGGATGGCCTTAAAATGACTGGGGATTTTGTGGATTTTAGGTGAAGGGTAGTTGATCCGGGACCAGTGATGCATTACCATTGCTGTTCGGAGGGAATGCCATTGAAGATGTAAGTACAGCTCCGAGGAAGACCATATAGGACTCTGCGAGCAAAAACGATCACTAGCGTGGATCCTGTGAGTGAATTTTAACACGTCTCTTCGGTGGCATGGAGATCAGAAAAAATTGCCCAGCACAGACTTTCACTAACGTGGCAGTCGACTACGAATGGGCTCATCCGGCGAGACAGTATATCCAGAACGTACGGGCTTTGCCTTTGATCCAAAATTATACCACAGACGATCGTGTCAAATGGCCTTGTAGGATCGGAGGGCAAGATCCATCCTTTGCTTGTTTTCATAGCTGTGGAGGTATCGGCGAAAATTGTGCTGGGTGTGTTGAACAAGGGTGGAACACATGTTAGTGGATGCTGGTGGGTAAGATGGAGGTGCGCGGCTATACAAGACAAAGATCTCTGGGAATCTTTGCGTGGGGCCTGTCGGCTCGTGATCACTAGAGTCAGATCGCTGCGCAGATGAGGTGGTTTGATGGGAGGGATAAGGCTGAAGATGTGATGAAGGCTGCTCTGGTAGTGAGCAACTCTCAGTTAGGCAGGGGAAGATCTTGGACGGGCGCCTAAGGAGAGCACTGGGAAGTTTCAGTAGACAGGAGCGGAGGTGGATGGGTGTTTTTCTGGAGCCTGTGAGGGAGACCGTTGCCCTGAAACTGTGGAAGAGTTAGACTGTGGCCCGTAGAATGTGAGCTCCGAGGGTATTTTAGAACGCGAAAAAAGGGTTAATCTTTGTGACAACTGTACGAGTTCGAGCGTCTGAAGTAAGTACTGCATCTAGAACGCTGGTAAAGGTACTTTTGAATGCTTTTATTCCGTGAGCCCCCACACAGGCAAGCTTATTGCCTGGCACCACATCTTACAGAACCGTGCTACATCGTCTTTTCGCTTTTGTTATTCAGGTGAATGGAAGACACTTAACGGTGAGAAAAAGCCGATTCGGGAACCTCGATCCTGTGTATCAGTCCGCGAATCAGTGAGTCATTCAGCTCTCAGCAAACTATTACGTTCACCGAACCAATCAGCATCCGGTACCTTCGACTCGCGTGCTGGGGCCACTCGCCGGGTACGTTTAGGAAATGATTCGCTCTGTCCAGACAGCTGGCCGTTTGCTGTTCCGTAGTAAGAAACACAAATTCTAATGCATTATCTGATTCAGGTTCTCAGAGGGAAACCTTTCTGCGCCCTTTAATAAAGGCCGGGGCACACTCTACTAATCCTGAATACTTCAATCGCGTGGAACCATACGAAATATATAGATCTCGTTTCCTCAATGCTTTCAATGACCAGACACTAGATAGTTGGTGGGTGAGGCATTGGCTGCTAAAGCTACACCAAGAAGACTCAATCCCTCCTCCTGAAGTGGTTGAAAGTGCTCTTCGAGCCTGTCGGCGGCTGAATGATATTGCGCTCGCAATTCGCTTCCTGGAGACGATCAGAGTAAGAATTGTTCTTCCTTTGACGTATTCTTCTTAGCTGAAATGCAAGGTTGTTTCTGGATCTTGGGATTGGATGCAGAAAGAGATAGACCCGACCATGAAGGAGTTAGGAATACCTACCTTGGCCACATTGGGATACGAGAAACCGCAGTTGGCCTTCCCGGATCCCGACGATTGTTTCACTTAGTGGATTCGATCTTGTATAGCGCCTGCCACTTAGTTGTAACTAAACCGGTTTCTGATGAGCGACTGACACGCAGGAGACTTGTTCTTTTCCTGTATTACCTGAAATTGTTAGAATTTCCCATGTTCAGTCATCCAATTTAGATCATTCGTTGTTCTACTCAAGTCTTAGAGGCGAGGAGCACCGGAAACATCCGTACTTTTCGTGACGCCGTTCCGTTATGTCAAGAATAGCCATCAAAAATCACTTATCGGACGACGTTATTTTGACTTGTATTGCCAAATGTATTCTCCGGATGAAGTACCTTCTGTCCCACAAAAAAGTTTCCTAATTGACTGATTGCGCATTCCCTGTGTTTCTACGAATTCAACGTAGTCCAGAAATTAACACGAGGCGACTGGCCGGAAAGTCAATGTTTTGAATCCAGTCCTGGCCTCTCGGTCACTTATGTCTGGGTTTGGGTGACCTGGCAGAAGCTGAGTGAGACGTTTAGAATGTATCCGAGAACGAGTTAGAACAGAACCCGGGTTATCGAGGCTAGACGACGTTTTGCTTGTCTAAGGGCAAGCGTGGATGAGCTGAAATGTACATACAAAGGTTCAGTACGAGTATATAGGGAAGAGTAATAATAAGCACACAATAATTATGACGTTCACATAGACATTGGTAGAATGGACACATATATGCTGATGTACATAGCGGATGATTTACTGAGTCCGGTTTCTGTGTTCCTTAAACCGTAAGGATGAACAGTTCGCTTTTCTAGAATTTCAGGTTAATTCCGTTGCTCTTAGAAGGACCTTACCGAAGAGGGTTCAGATGCTTGAGAGCTATCAGGCTTACGTCCGGTTGTTTCAGTCATTTCTGGGAGTTCGATGTCCTCATTGTATTCATATGGATCAAGAACGTCGTCATTTGTACCCTGAACCGCTGGGGCTAGACGGCGAAGGGATACGGTTT